CCCCGACAAGCCGTGGCTCCATACCGTGCCTGCCCCACTCCTCCTTCACTGTTGGGGGCATTGATCTGCATGCCCCTTCCCTCCCACCACACCAGATTTACCAGCTGCAAGTAGCTCTCCAAGCTGCTGGGCTGTGCTCCTCACTGCCTGCATGCAGCGTTGCGGATGGCTGCATGCATGCATGGGCATCTATCAACCAAATTATCAGCCACATCTGGAACCTAAACCCTTATTTCCCATATACCCTTCGTATCTTTTTATGTAATTTCTATTTACACGTTGTTTTTTCAAGGATGTAACCATGGTGGAAATCGAGGCCCAACTGTATAGAATGTAATTCCTTGGGTGTCATCTTAAATTCAAGTAAATATGGGGGGTGTGTCTGCATATCTTTTACAAGCATATAAACTATACCAGGATCCACAGAGAACAGATGAGCAGCTATCTAAAAGACAGCTAAACACACAGTACATGTACCACTTGGTGGAAAGGAAATAGCAGGTCTTTTTGTCTCAAATGACTAACTTCGGAATATGCTGCAATTATTCTGGTGCAGGCATTGTATATCTTATACTAGTTTTACTACAAATGTCATTTTGATAATCAACACCAAGGTGGGTGAAAGTACCCCAGTATAGAGGCTTACACTATCTTACATTATAGAAATTGCTGATTTACCAGTTATATCTCTTCTTTTATTCAGCTAACTACATCCAGTTTATATGGAATTCAACTGAAATCACTGTGTATCCTGGCCTCAATGCTCTCAATAGACTGCACAGAAAGGAAATATTTTAATTCACCGAAATAATACTATCAAACTGTAAACCTATGCAATGTTTTATACCAGATCCCTTTGGTCACTTCCATAAGCACAGACTAGTATCTGCAAATATTGTTCATGTCATGTCAAAAAAACCAAAAAAAAAAATTAAAAAAAAAAAAAAAAAATCAAGAGAGGAGTCACTTCTTGAGAGATATAAGCCAATGCAAGGTATAAGTTATGCAGTTCACTAAATCTGAAGATGCAAACTATCTGGTTCCACAGCAGCAATGAGCCTTTGAATGAGCAGAGAGAAATGCCCCACTCTCCCCTAACTATCCTAAACTCAACATTCATGCCAACAAACCTCAGCCGACTTAAATAATTCACACAACAAGATTTAATGGTTGCTAGTACAATAAAGTGTGTTGCATAAGTCTTATATCTGACAAAAGTTGCAATCAATTTTCACCAGGCCACAAGAAGCCATATAAGCAACTTAGGGGCTCTTGCTCTGCCAAAGCAGTATTTAGTTAAAAAGAAGAGTTTGCTCCCAAACTGAACATAACCCTACCACAAAAGTTAAATACTGACAAAAGTTACCGCCAGCTGAAAACACTAAGCATGACATACTCCTGCCACTTTATATACACATCACATAACCAGACCTTAAGAAAAACCCAAGAACAAAAAGTACTCAGCTATAATGAAGTGCAATTTCTTCTGCCATGAAACTTCTATGGATCCTAAGCTGCTCTCATTTAAAAAAACCAACAAAATAAATCTCAAAATCTTTTACACTAGCAAAGATTACCTTCTAAACATGCAGAAAAGTGCAAACAAAACCAGCATGTCTATCTTCAGAGAAAGACAGGCTTTCCTACTCTTTTCTAAAGAGAAGACCTGCCTGTTGAAAAAAGCCTAAAAGTTATTCCAGGAACCCAGCTGCCTTAGGAACCAACCATGTGAAATGGGGTGGGAGAGAAAAGAGATGAGAAGCTGTTACCAGCAGAAAGAGCCTTCCTGGGGTGGCCAAGGTCCCACATATGGTAGCGAAAGGCTTTGCTTGTCTGAGATTATTTGTACTGTAACAGTTCCATGGCCAAGGTTCCAAGGACTACTTGGTCTTTTGCGTTAAGACATTTTTCTGTGTTAAAATAACAATAGACGTCGGCCTCAAAAGTTTGCAGTCTAAGATACATGGCATTCCTAGGATGGAATGTATAAGGCCTGCTAGCTATGGCAATTTTCATAACTAAAGTGAAAAATAAACTCTGATCCAACTTTGGGCATTTGACAACTGGCTTAGCTACTTCCCCTTACAAAAAGCAGTCAGGTTCCTGTTCTTCATTTTTAAAAATTTAATAATTTTCTAAACATTTACTAAAAATAAGGAGATTCCAAGATGGTATCCTTCTAGGAGCTGGAATCACTAGGCATGGAATATTAAAGGTGGAAGGGCTTTTCGTAATCACTAGGGATTTTAACTTTGTTTTCTGTTTGTTTTGTAGCACATAAAGTGTTAGATACCAACAAACGTGTCTAGGCCAGTTGCTCTCAATGTTTTAGACAATGGTTTTGTGCTTCTGAACATTAGCAATATGAGGTTCAAAGAGTGAGAAGGAAGTAGTTTCGGGTGCTGTGTCCCAACATGTTTAGCAGTTAAAAAAAAAAGCATACATGTTTCTATTTCCCCAGTTTTGTGAAAATTCAAGGACAAAAATGACTGAGAAGAAAAAAATAGTGAAACTAATGTACAAAACAGCTGTTAAATCTTTGTTCTGTGCATTTAAGAAAAGTATGTTTTTGCTCTTTTCAGGTATGATGCTTCTAAGTATTATTTGCAACAACTGGGTAAAAATATTAGACATGAGAATGATTTTTAAGTTAACTGTGCTCCTTCAAAATGGTCACTATGCTTTAATTCTTCAGGGATTGTTAAGTTTGTATTGGGGGGGAATGGGGAAAGGGTGAGAGAAAGAGCACAAGCAACTTTTTTTTATTTGTTGAAACCTATAGTATAGAGATATTAGAAACAAATGGTGAAAGTGCAAAGGTATGTGGCCCTTCCAGAGGTCAAACATAAAACACTTGTCAGTGACAAAAAACACCATGTCACTGGAGACTGAAACTCCCTCCCCCAAGGCCTCACAAGAAAGCAGCTTGATTTTACTAAGCTAAACTGTGGAAAGAACAACAAACTCATCTCAGAAGCATCTTCACCTGCTTTTGTCCAAAAAGTTTAAACAAAAAGCCAGATGTAAGCATGCCTCTATTTCAGTTCCAGAACAGTAAGACTTCCACTGTAGCGTCCAAACCACGTGACAATAGTTCTGCAGAATAAATATGTGGCAGCATGAAGAGCGGGCAAGAACCCAGCCCGACTCTCAGATACCAAGAGAAGTTTGCAGAGCCCGTGATCAGAAGTTGATTGCATTTCATTCAACTGAGCATATTGAATCTGAAAGGCATCACACTTCCAACAGGGAAGTGTATTAATTCTTAAAGAAAGAACTATAAATTGTACCTCTACTAAGCAGAAGCGCACTTTGAAACAGAAAGTAATGCCTGCAATATCTTCAGAGTTTCTCTTACAACATCAGCACACAAAAGACAATACTTCATTCATGAAACTTTACTTAGCGGTAGGAATATGATCATGAATCACATTAGTTTTGCTGACCTCGTTCTTTCCAGAGCAAAATGTTTCTCCTGTTACTAGTTCTCTTACCTATTAGTCAGGTATCCGGGTTGTAGCCCCATTGGTCTAGAGGAAAGATTGTTGGTCTAATAACAGACATCATCTCTATTAGGAGTCCTGACTGCTTTACTGATTAGTGTTACAGGGGTGTAGGTTGTACCCATGTTGGTCTAGAGACGTAGGCCGACAACGTTCTTTAGATGGATCTGATATCTTTTATTAGACCAACTTCAATAGCTGGGGGAAAAAAAAAAATTTTAAACCCAAAAGCTCACTAATTTTTTTCCCCCCAACTATTTAAGTCGGCCTAATAAAAGGTATCAGATTCACCCAAAGAAACTTGTCGGCCTGATTCGTAGCATTAACACGCTCAGACTATGCTATAATACCACCAGGAAATAACTACAGTTAAAATGTCAAACAAAACCCTGGACCTCACCAGGTGCAAATGTAACTTGACTGGAGACAATCCCACTCCCTGCCCAATATTGCAACTGCTGTAAACCAAACCACATAGTGAAGACTATACGTGCAACGTCTTTGCTTCAGCTGTAGCAGATCAATGATCTCACCAGCCCCAACGTCTATGAAATCGATTAAATTAAACACCACTGCCAACATTTAGGGGGAAAAAAGCTTTCAAATGGAAAGGTGGAAGCAGACCAACCTCTGATTTTTTTTTTTTTTTAATGAGATGCGCCTTTTCCTGAGAAGGGAAGAGCCCACTCGGAGCGGGAAGGACGAGGCCAGGCGGGCGCTGGCTGGGCCCCGGGCAGGGAGCACGACCCGGCCGCGGGGCTGGGGCCACTAGACCAGGCCGCGGCAACTCTCCCCCCTCCCCCTTCGCTGCAAAACGCCTCACTGCTTGCATCGCCGGAGGCCTCCAGGCCCCTGCCCGCGGGAGCGGCGGGGCTGAAGCCCGAGGAG